TGAATAATAAGCCAGGAATCCTGGATTAATAAGCCATGATGCGACTGAGCTGCTAGCTCATCCGTCCTTTGGCTTGCTGTTTTGCTGCTCGTGTTGCCATAGCCACACAAGTGGACTTTGGGCGCTTGCCGGCCATTTGGCAAAGGATCCCCTGTGCCTGTCTTGGTGGGGCAGAAATGTGGCAGGTGAAGGAAGGCTGGGGCTTGAGCCATGTTAGCTTAGAGCTCTTTCGAGTCCTCTGAGACCCAAAGACCTGGGTTTGATTCCCAGTGTCTCCACTCAGAAGGATCGGGAACAGGTTGCAGGAAAGAGCCTTCTTGATCCAAGGCCCCAGAGGGCAGTTGCCAGTCACAGTCGATGCCGCTGCCCTAAATGGACCAAAGGCCAGCAGGTTGCTGTATTCCTATTTCAGTCGACCCTTTTTTCAGAATCATGAGGACTGGAAACGTGCTTTAATCGGGTGGAGTGGAAGGGCCCTAGCTTGGAGGCAGCACACCTGCTTGGCATGTGGGAAGTCTTGCTCGAGTCCCTGGTGCCTCCAGTGAGATGGCTTTGGTGGCAGCTGATGGGGAGAGCCTTCCTGCGCCCCATCCCGGGGAGCTGCTGCTGGCCAGGAGGGAGAACACGTGGCAACACAGAAGGGCGGATGGGCCAGCGGTTTTCCAGGCCACCAAAACTCTCCAGAACTCACTCCAGGGGCTGCCTCATCATTTCTCCCTGTTTTTGGGCTCCCTTGCATCAGAAAACAATCTTTTTCAAATGCAGAGCCTTTCCCCCACCACTGAATGTGTGAACATGCATAAGTGTCTGGGGTGCATTTTGCAGCACACATTCTTTTTTTTTTTTTAATGGGTTTTTTAACATGATTGAAATCATTCATTGAGGAAAAATGCTTGTGCTCATTTTCAGGAGGGCAAAGGGGACCGTCTGACATAATCCTGAAACGGAGACTAGTGTCAGGGCAGCTTCCTGTTCCAAGGGGCAGATGCTTTCCCTCTCCCTCAGCTGGCCTCAGGCCTGCCTTGCTTGTCGGGGGCGCCTGCACCGGGGAAGTGAAGCCCAGCACCGTCCCGGCTCCGGCAGAGCTCGCAGCGGCGCCGCATTTGGCCGAGCGAAAGGGACCCGCAGGCTGCAGGCTTTTCCGAAGCATCTGTGCATGGCGCAGGGCAGCAGGCAGGGCAGCTGCGACTGTCTGGCCCGCGCCCCCGGGCGGCTCTGCCGGGAGCGGGGAGCGTGTCACACCTGGCGGCGGCTGGGGATTTGACAGGATCAAGCTCGTGCGTTGACCCGCCAGCGCTAAAGACCAGAGCAGACAGCAAAGGCACGGCAGCGGAGCAGGAATTGTCAGGGCTGAGTCGCGGGAGGGGGATCTCCGTGTTTTCACCCAAAGCAAACGCCCCCCCCCCCAGCCCTTCTCTGCACCTGAAATCTTCTCTGGGGCAGATCAGGAGGCATTTGCAGTAATTAGAAGTGCCATAATCGCCCTGTCTCCCCGCTTCTGCCATCTCCTCCTCCAGCTTATTTGGGGAGGGGGGTGGAAGCAAGACCCAAACCTCCAGCGACTTCCCCTTCCTAAATCGCAACTCCCCTCTCCCCCCCACCCGCCCTGGCTCTCTATCCCTGACAGCTCTGGCTAAGAGTGTTGTGGGGGGGGGGTGAGACAGTTGGCGCGTTTCTGATCTCCCTCCAGGGAGGCGGGTGGGCGGCAGGCGTGGGAGGCCCTGTCAGTCAACGGCAGCAAGGAGTGCCGGCACGGAGGGAAGGGGGGAAATTCCAAAGCCGTCGCCCGCCCGCTCGCTCGCTCCGTTCTTCCCTGGGGTGTAAGCCACCTGCTGCACTGGCGATGATGCTCGGTGTGCGCTTCCCGTCTTAATCCCACCCCTCTTCGGGGTCGGTGGGCCTCCGCGCCAGGAGGGAGTCGAGGCCCTCGGCTCCTCACCTGGTGCAGCCAGGTAAGGATTTTCACTGCCTTGGCACCGGGGCAGCGTGTCCTCAAGTCCATGTGCGGTGGGCAAGGGCGGGCGGAGATCCCCGCCGTAGCTGGAGAGGCCATTTGTGAAGGTGTCGTGTACCCTCTTCCATGCCCCCCTGACTGAACGGCGGTGGGGAAGGGGTCTGAAGGAGGAGGCAGTGCAGGGCGCCAGCGGGGCTCCTTCGCACACAGGAAGGAAGCGGGGAAGCCCGGTACATCACCCTCTCTTTTGAGGTTTGACCCTTCCCTGCCTCCATGGATTTGCAGGCACCAGGAAATGTATCTCCCCCCCCCCATAAAACTGGGGGAGCCCAGCTTGCTGCTCCCCTGCTTTGTGCAGGACAGGCCCGAGGCCGCTTGGCTAATGCTCTTTGCAGGAACCTGGGGAGGAGGCAGCAGCGTGAGTAGCTCTTACGGAGGGGTTGGGAGACGCAGCCAGAATCTGGCCCTCTTGCACTCGCTGGAGGCCTCTCCCGCTCTTTGGCCCTGGCGTAGGAAGCGAGCCGAGCTGAGAGCCAGCCGGCGGAGGCACAGGAATGCGAGCGGACCCCCCGGGGGCCGCACGTGCAGAAGCAGAACTCTGCCCGCACAGCGGGCGCCCCGGCGGCGGGCGGGGTGTGCGCAGGCCAGACTTGCTTGGGCTCACGTCCTGCTGGCCGCAGCTGCGCAGGCGAACGCTCGGTGTGTGCTGGGCTTAGGGCAGAAAGGGAGCAGGCCGGGGCGTGGGGAGCCAAGCCAGGGAAATCTGGCGGATTCCCACTCCAAACTGGATTCCTCACGCCTCGCTGCCCCGAGCACATCTTTTCTCCTTGCACTCGCCATCTGTGCACACGGGCAGCACTGCCCGCAGGGGAGCCCGTGCGGTGGAGCGGGTGATGTGCCAGCCTTCGGCCAAGGAGACCTGGCTCCAAACCCTGTGATCCACTTTGCCCGCTTTCTCTGCCTCTCTCTCAACTTCACCTACCCCATGGGGTTGTTTTGGAGAGAAAGCATGGAAGACAAATCCTGTGCAGGAAGTTTGAGAGGGCAAAAAGAGAGGACGCGGCTGACCTCTGGGACTACCGGGGGGGCTGTCCTGTAGAAGACGGCAAAGGCCGCTTCCTCACTGCTGCACAAGAGAGCGAGGCCAGGCCCAGCGGGCTGAGGTTGCAGGAGGGCAGAGCTCGGTTCTCTGTGAGGAGGAGTTTTTTTCATGGTAGGGGCAGTTTGGTGAAGGAATCTGTTCTCGGGCCTTGAATTCTCCTAGCAGAGACTCCACACCCATCACTGGCATTGCTCAAGCTGTGGGGAACCCACATGGCTCCCAAATGTAGGGTCCTCGAAGAAGGGAGAATCCCATTTGCATGGCCAGACTCCTTGGAAATGCAAAGGTTTTGCTCCCATCCTGAAGGTTTTGCTCTTGCTTCAGTGTTCCCTAGAAAGGTGGGGTATACCTGTCGAAAACTAAGCAAGGATGCTGTGCTGGACTGCGGCTCCCAGGCGCTGCTGTGGATGGAGGGATGCATTCCACCCTCTGCCCAACCACCTTGTGCCACAGGGGTTGCCCGACCCTCGCAGAGAGCTCTTGCCGCATGCCAGCGGCACGGAAGAGCCCTGCTAAAATGCTTGCACCTGGCCAGCTTTTGCAGGCAGGGCAAAGACAGAACAAGCAGGCGGGATGCTTACCACCCCTTGCCACTGTGTGCCCTGGAGCAGGAGCCACCTTGGTTCTGGACCAGCACAGCTACTCCCAGTGTGGCAGGGGGGCAGAGACACCCACGGAAGCCAGCTGGCTTGGGGCCCAAACGGGGCGAGGTGGAACCCCATGCGTGTGATCCGTCATTTCCTTAATAGCAGCTCATCTAATTTAATTAATGCCTCAGCTGCTCCAGTGGGGCCGTGGCTCAGGGAGAGCAAGGGGCTGTTTGTGGGGGTCCCTCTCCCCAACTCACCTGTTCCCCCACCCTTCGTCTCCCCCCACCTTCCCCGCAACACTGTACTCAGGAGTACTTTGTCCTGCAGGGATGATCAGAGATAAAACAGTGCCGGAGCAGACTCTGCCAAAGCCGGAGAACATTAATTACCACTGAGCCCAGCTCATGGTAAACAAACATCGCCCAGCCTGGTTTTCATCTCCACCATGTGCTGCGGCAGGAGCCCCGGGGCACCTTCACGGGGGGTGGGGCGGGGGCGGAGAACAGCCTTTCTCAGTAGTGGCAGAAATGCTTGAGCCTCGTGCACTCTGAGCGGCAGAGCCTGTTTCAGGGAAGCCCCTGCCCTCGTGGGCAGAGCCAGGAGGAGACGCTGCATACTTACCCCAAATCTGTTCCTAGTAGTGACTTGGCTTTGGAGAGGCATTTCACCCATTTAGAAACACCGCACCACGTGTGATTGGAGAAGGTGCCGGGCCAGGGAAGGGACGTGTCCATCTCGGGCATTCGGGGCGTCCTTGGTGGGCCTCATCTCGCAACTCCTTTGTGAGGGAGGGTTGGAGATGATCCATTTCTCCCCGGCTGCTGTGAAGATCAGAGCTAGACCCGACGGGAAGGGGGAATGCAGGGAAGTGCTGGGGGTAGAGATACGTTAGTGTCACCGCTAATTAAAAAGTCGCCATGCCATGTCCGAGAGTCACGATTCCACAACACCGCTGCTTATGGTTGACCCTTTGATTGCTGTGCAGTCTTGTGCATGGGCGCCTTTTTAGTTGTGTGCCTGGAAAGCTTTGGCTGCCAGGCGATAAAGAAATTTCGCACATGAAAGAATGTGTGTCCACAAACGGAACCTCCGAGGCCGGAGTCTGGAGAGGCCTGCTGGTGATGTTCTTGGTAAAGGCGTGGTCTTCGTGCATAAAACTCTGGCCCGGTGTGCAAAGCGGTGGGTGTTCGTGCAGTGGCTCACCTCACCGCTTTCTGCCCGGCTGGGAGTGTGCAAGGCAATTCCCTGCCCCGGCTTGCAGGCCTCTCCTCTCCTCTCCTCTCCTCGCCTCCCTCGCTCGCCTTGGTCCTCCTCCCGTCTTGGCATTGACCGTGCACATCCTTCTGCCCTCCAGAGAACTCCCACACGCCCCTGCTGGAGGGCGCTGTGACTCAGATGACCCCTGAGGAGCATTACAGGCGCATGATGTCAGCACTCAACGAGCACGGCACCTTCGAGGAGCAGCAGCAGCAGCAGCAGCGCCTTTACCAGTTGGCCAACAGCATGGCAGTTCCCAGCCACAGCGGTGAGCGTGACTTCCTTTCCCCTTTCCCCTTTTCTGCCTTTTGGAATGGGGGGGAGCTGCACAGCGGCCCTGCAAGCACTGGGGGAAGGGGGCGGGGCCAGTCCTCCGAGGGCCTGACGTAGGTGCCCAGGAGGGCCCAGTTTGGCCCCTGGCCCAGAGGTTCTGCACCCCTGAGCTGAGGGTGCAGGTGTGCGTGGGCATCACTTGCAGAACTCTCTGGGATTGGTCGTTATCCCTTAGAGCAACCTGGCAAATTAAGCCCGCCAAGAGTAAAAGAAAAAGATTAGCCCAGGAAAGAGTGTGTTCCTGTCCTGACACTTTGCTCTGGAAAATCAAGGTGGTGGTTGTGGGGAGACCCCCTCCAAGTCTGGTAAAGCTGCCCCGCTCGGTCAGTCGCCTGCCCCACAGCAGTTCCTAGCGTGGCACAGGTGACCAGGCAAGCCGCGGCTCGGAAGGCTGGCTTCTGGGAACGCTGGCTACCCAGTGCGACCCTCTGCTTCCCTCTCAGACCTCCTGGAATAGCAGAAGCTCCTTGGGGAAAATAGGCTCCATGAAGATAAGGTCTAAATTCCCTTTTTGCCTGCACAAAGGACGGATTATCTGTGTGTCCGCCCGGTGGCACCAACTAACGTTTAATAATTGAGGAACCTTTTTTTGTATTTAATTGCTCGCCTCTCCCCACCCCCACCCCCTCCAGACCACCTCCTCCCCCTGCCTCCTTTCTCCTACACGTGCCTCTCTCTGTCAACATTAATCCTGCATTCTCCATTCTTCCCGCCTGGAACTGTCATCCCCAGAGCATCCGGGTGTCAATCACGCTTGATTTGTGAGCCGTCAGAGAGTGCAGCATTGTAAATAACACATCCTCCATGTGTGTGTGTGTGCGTGTGGAGGAGGGGTGTTTGCTGGAAGCCAGGGGAGCAAGGAGGCGGGTGCAGGGAGGGCTTGGGTGGATGGGTTGCGGTCACTGGAGATCAATACTGCCTCTGGGGCCGGCCACTCACCAGGCTTTCAATTGCAACTCTCTCCGCCCCTGCCGGCCTGCAATAAGGCTCAACCGGCCGTTTTCAGATAATTAATTTATGAACATGGAGATGTACAGTCACCGGCTGGAGAGAAACGCCGAGCTTTCTGCACGCTTTTCTGCAGGGGCTGGGTGTTCTCTCCCCAACCCCCGACCTCCTTTGAAAACAAAATCGTGATCATTAAAAAGGGCTGAGTAAATCAGTATCTATTTAGAGAATGTATTTATTAGATTTATATACCTCCCAATATCCAACACTCTCTTGAGTGGTTCACGGAAATGAGAACCTAAATTATCTAGAGCCAGCACACATCATTTTGCAGCCTGTGGCAAAGGGAGAGATGGCCCCCTTCTCCGGTCCACCCGCAGAGCTGCCAGCGAATGTCACGTCACGTCCCCGGGAAGGGGACTTCCTCCACGGCCACACCGTGTGCCTGGCACACGGCTCGGCCCTCCCCCAGACGGGGAGAGCCAAGGAACTGCCCCCGCTGACCCCTCTGCTGCCAGTGGTTAGCCTTGCACCAGGATGTAGGAGACCTGGGGAACTAGGGCCGCAGCATTTAATTGAACAATCAGTTGTCTTTTGTATTGTGTTGTATTGTGTTATGTTATATTGTTTTACTTTTAAACCTTTTCACTGCAAAAACTGGGCCGCATTTTTATCAGAACGTGTTTTTATCAGCAACTGTTGCTTTAAATGTACACTTAGTCTTCGTCTTAGATATAAGAGTAAGCCCACTGAACTTGCTGAAGTTGTAGGGAGTAATTTAGGTCTCGCTGGTTTCCATCGGCCAGTCTAAGCATGACAGAGCCTGAATTTAACCCAGCCTTTTAAGAGCCCTGCCAGGCAGGGCCAGAGGCCTGTCTAACTGAGCAAGCTGTTTGCACAGTCGCTGGGAACTGTGGGAAGTTGCAGCCCGCAGGAGCAGCTTACCTGGTTAAGGTGCAGCGAGTCTGGAGCTTTTCTTCTGGATCTCTCCCTCTCTCTCACACACACACACATGCACACACTTCCATTAGCAGACATCAAATCTTGCAATAAATAAGGCATTGTCTGCTTCTCCGAAGTGCAATACAAACAGCCACTAATTAGTGCTCACTAATTACCTGACTGTAGAAGGATCAACACTGCCCTGGCTTCAAAAAAGGAGGAAGCAGCTGAGCATTCTCAGCAGCCTCATACAGGCTGGAGAGGAGATCTCAATGGGCTGGAGTGGAGTTACGCACCCATGCAAGGTGGATCGGTCTCCTCCCAAGGGACGCAAGCAGGGAGGTTATGGCCAGGAGCGCCACTTCGTGGGAGGGCGCCAGGGTCGCATGATCAGGATGGAGACGAGCCCTGCATGGGTTGCCGCACTGTCCAGTTCTAGCCAGTCGGGGTGCAGCCCAAGCCCCCGTGGAACCCCAGGACGAGCTGCGAGTGCTTTGCAAGTGGCCTCTCGGGCCGCACAGCAGCCTTCATGCAGCCGGGGAGAAGGATGGAGACGGGGCAGGGCATGACCGGAACGCACCCTCTGGGCACCCAGGCGCGCCATGCCTTCTTTTCCTTCCCTGACCCTGCAAGTGCTGTCTGTGCACATTGCGAGCCTGCTCCTGAGAAAGCCTCCGTATTCCAACATACTCTACCTCTGCAGTTCCATTTCAGCAGGGGGAGACCAAGTCTTGTTTTGCTCATCCGCTCCCTGATTGCAGCTGGTTATCAGCCACGGAAAGCTCGCCAGGCTTAGCTGGACCTTTGTCCCGATGCAGTGGGCCTCCCTTTACCATTCAGGGTGAGATTCAAAAGTAGTGGTAATGGAATCAAAGCTTTCGCTTTGGAAACTGGTGGCAGTGGGGCACGGCAGCTTTCCCCCTTATTCCAGGGGTGGACTCTTTCTCTCTGTCTCTCTCTGTCTCTCTCTGTCTCTCTTCTTTCTTTCTTAATGTAATGGGGAACTGAGGCTGCGAGTGACACTGTGGCTGAGCCACCCTGTTCGGTGAGTCCCTGTCTTCAGTTGAGGGCAGTTAAAATATATCCCATCCCTCCATTTATACACAGGCTAATCTTAGACCCTGCATGTCATGGTCTTGCGGGCGGGCACACAGTGTGCCTTGAGAGGGCTGCATGTGTATTAGTCCAGACATGGCGCACGCAACCAATATTTCTCTTTGCCTTTACCCCTTTGCTGGTTTCTGGCCTTTAAAATGGCTTCTGTAGCCCTGGCATGTTAGACGCACCAGTGGAAGGGCTTCCCGGCCCGTGTAAGCAGAGGCATGAAATGGCGCTGGCTGCCGCATCTGCACTCTCCGGGTGCCCTGGACACTGGCCTTGAGAGCCACCGCGGAGCCTGGCCTGGCAGACACTCTTCCATCCCAGTTCAGTACCCGCGTGCGGGGCTCGCCCCCACCTCCCCGCCTCGCCTGTGCATCACCGTCAAGCGTGTGATTCACCCTTCCTCCTTCCCCCTTGCTCGGAATTCCCCACACATGCCCGGGGGCTGAGCCGTGAGAGTGCTCCCGGCGGCGGCGAGCCGGCTGCCCACGCGCTGACACCACCTCAGGCAGATGCTGCTCACACTCCCATTAGCAAATGCCAAACCGCCGCTGCGGCTGCCCCCCTTCCTCGCTCTCGCCCGCTCACGTGCCGACTTCCTCTCCCCTGCCAGAAAGCAGCCCAGTCCCTTCTTTGCAGCTCGGGACGCGGACCAAGGGATGCGGTCGTGCACTGGTCCGGACAGACTCGGCATGGCCTGAGCGAGATCCAGACCGCCGCAGCTGTGTGATAAATGCATGCCGGGCGGCCAGAGCAAGCCAAGGCGGCAGGGTAGGGGCTGAAGGAGGCACCCCCGGCAGGCAGTGAGTGATTGCCAGCCGCTCCCTCCACATCCTTCTCGCGGCAGGCAGGCGGTGGCAGGGGGTGGGGGGAGCAGAGAACTTGCATGAAAGATGCGGTGTTAGCAGCTGAGGCAAGGAAGGGTTGGGTGCTGGCCCCTCAACGAGCAATTAGGCAGGCAAAGGGGAGTGCAGGAGGCGTGAGTCTCCAGGCAAAAAGGAGGAAGGTGCTCCTGGCTGATAGGAAAACTTCCACCTGACTAGTGAAGGCCAAACCTAACAGGTCGGGGGCCGCCAAAGGGGCCGCCTGAGGAGCCGAAGCCCTTTCAGCCCTGCCGATCTCCAAGCTTTCGACTGCCGAGTGGCCTCGGGGGTCCCAGCATGGAGGCAAAGTGGTGAAAAGTGACCCTGCTCAGGCTTGAGCAGCCTTGGAGAGTGCAATCTTGGCTTCACGCTAGGGCGAGATTGGAACTGGGTGGTGTTCAAGGAGAGACCTGCTGGATCGAAGGGAAGGCCTCTTTCCTAGCCCAGAATCCCTGTTTCCCAGCCGGAAAGCTTTAGGGAAATGGGCTTGCGGGCAGAGGCCCTCCCCCACTGGAGTGCCTGTGGGTTTTCAGTGTCGTGCAGCCTTTAAACAGCTCCGTACCGCCTCCTGTCTTGCCGCAGCGAGTGCCATTCTCAGCCTGAAGCTCAGCCTTTTGGCTGCTGGGATGAACTAACTTGCCGCAAGAAGATCACAGTATTTTTATTTTTTTTTAAGATTGTAGTTACGCATCCAGAAGGCTTCTGGTTTCTCCTGGGTTTGAGTACTGGGGTGCACAGCAAGCAGCTCCGGAAATGGCTCCGGAGAAAAGCACCTGTCCAGAGCCCCCAGGCAGAACAATTTCCTCTAGGGCAGGTCTCTCAACGACACCTGCCAAACGAATGGACTAGCAAAACAATGTATGTGGGCTACTGATCGAAGGCGCAGGGAGCAGACTCATCCATACACCCCCCCCCCAGTCTGGTCCGGTCCCCTTCCCATTCCCTCTAGCCCAGTGCTGAACTGGGGTCGCACAGTCCTCCTCCTCTTACGAAGCCCATTAGAACATGGGTGGCCCTGAGCTCTGTCCCCGGAGGTTCCTCACTTCCAGACCCTCCGCACTTGGCCACTCCCAGGGGACAGGAGACGTTCCAAGCCGACTGTCATTTGTTCGAGGTGCACCAAATCTTACAACAGGGCCTGGAACACGAGAAGACAACTTGTGGCCCTCCAGATGTTTTGACCTCCAACTCCCATCAGCCCCTGCCAGCTGTGCCAGTGCCAAGGGATCATGGAAGGCATTGGCCACAGCATTCGGAGGGCCTCGTGTTGCTCACCTGTGGCCTTTAGGCTGCTTTTGCAGAAGTCGATCGCATGCTGTACACCAGGTCAGGCCATTCATGCATCTAGCTGAAGCTCGTCTCCTGTAACTTTCTAGGGTCTCGGCTCGACAGCGTCCCCATTCATCAGTATCCGATCCTTCTCCCACATCGTCGTCCCCACTCTTGAGCGAGCATGTGTGAGTGTGTATGTGCGTGTCAGAAAGAGAATCTGAGTTTCGTAACGCCGTAGCAATTCAGCTCTGGTGACCTGCATACATTATGCAAGCTGAGCAAGTACGAATTTCCCACACCGTGCATAATTTATTCTACCGTTTTCTCCGTCTTGCACGCTTCAGCAAGGGGAAGTGAGGAGTTACACAGGCTACGGAAGTGACAAATCTCGTAGCCCATTTTATTCGGCCCCCATGCCGCTGAGATTTTTTCACAGACCTCACTTGAATCTTTATGAGCTCATTTTAATAATTCTGGAGTGGGTCCTGCAACCTCCACTGCCCTGCTATTTTAGGGTTTTTTCCCCAGGATAAAAAAGGGGGAGTTGTCGTTTGCTGCTGAAATTGGACAGCAAACAGGTAATGGGCAAGTTTACCCTGAAAACAAGCTAAGAGCGAGTAACGTTTTTCTTTCCTACATTTTCCTTTTTATGGAATTCTGCTGGTTTCTGAGTTCTGCAGCCCACTTAGAATATTCTGTTCTTTGTGAGGCCTCCTGCAGAGTTGAGGATAACACCTGGCCCCGTAACTTGCAAACAGGTGATGCCGAGCCAGCAAAGGTTGCCGTGGCTTTTTGTACCACTGTGGGACTTCTTGACACTGCCTCTGTGGGCTTCTTAGATGTAGTGGCGGCATCAGTCGCCTGGCCCAACAGCAGCCAAGCCAGAGCAGAAGCTGGCTGAAGATTCTGCGCTCTTCCCTCCAACGTCTTCTCCTCAGCTGCTTTTCCCATCGCAGAAGAAAAGCAGCTGGGGAGGATGGGTCTGTCCGCCCTTTTCCTTCTGGTGAATGGGGAAGGACTTCATGGCTGCCTCCTTCTTGCCGAGTTCAGGGGCGGCCTCTCTTCGAATGCTCCCATCCCGGTGATTGCTAACGCATAGGCACCTCCACCGCAGATCGCTTGTGCTCTTTTCTGAATATGCCTTCCTCAAACGCAAGAGAGTGGCTCTTGTTTGGCAGCAGCGGGTCCAGCATCCAGGGCAGGCAGGGTTGGGGCTCCTGCTGGGGGCCACGCCCCATCAGGGGTCCACTGAAAGGAGCCCCGGAGCAGCTTGCCAGCGCCCCTTTTGCTCTGGACAAGGCCATGCTGGCGGGGGGCGAGGTGCTGCAGCCCACGTCCTCCGTGGCGACCATAGTGCTAAGCAGGACGACTCGCGAGGAGGTCTCCACACAGGGGCCCCATCAGCCGCACCGGGCAGCAGTGTCCTGGCCCCACAGCGTTTGGGCCGTAGAAGAACAGGTGTGCTCCTGGTCAAGGCACGGACCCAGCAGTGGGATTAGCCTGTCCCGGTTGGCTTTTCGAAAGCACTGCCATCTTCCGTTCAGCGTCTTCACAGCCACGGGGATGTCCAGTGCACTCCTCAGAACCAAGATGAGGCGCATTGGGGTTCCAGCACATGGAATCCCATTTTGTGGCCTGGTGCGCAGAGTGCGCAGAGCCTGCGCAAGAGCCAGATGTGCGGGTCCAGCAGGGTGCATGTGACGGGGAGCGGGCTCAAGAGGCCAAGGACTGTTGTGAATTTTGCTCCTCCCCCTCCGTTGCGTTGTAAGAGTTCTCCGCTCAACTCTACCCCTTTGCCTGGGCCAAGGAGTGCTATTTATACACTCAGCTGCTGCCAACTTCTTTTTTTTTTTTCCAGACACCTTCCTCTTGGGTTAGTTGCACAATTTCCTCTCACTTGCCAAAGCCAAAATCAGTGGGGGAATGCAAGACTGGGGCAGGGCGGGGGAGCGCTGGCTGGCTGGCTGAACTCAAACATACCTTCCTCTGCTGCGTAACGACATCTAGGACCTGTTTTTAAAAGCCTGGTTTCGGCAGGAAATTCTTTGACTGCTCATATTGCAGCCAGGAGACACCGCAGCAGGCGGATTACTGTGGGGGCAATTCCCGCTCTCCTTTTTGCTTCTCAGGCCCTCCACCCTGCACCTGACTGTTGACGGGGGAACCTCCTCTCCGTGGTCCTGTAATTTTCCCCGCTAATCCCCTTTATCGCTCCAAAAGAGCACGACTTTCACTTGTGCTCAGGGAGAGACAGGGACAGAGCAACTTCCCTGAGTCGGCTAAGTTTTGGGGGGTGGGCGCGGGAGAGAGGAGGTTGGGAATAGGCAGCAGAGGAAGCAGGAAGGGGCTGCCTCTGCTCGCCCTGGCCTGGGGCGGGAGAGTGCTGGCCCCGCTTTGTGGGTTTTGGGCTTCGGGGCTTTTTAATCCGCCTGCGTCACATTCAGATTCATCCTTGCAGTGGCAGAAGGAAACGGGGTCCCCGGCGTTTTATGCCAGGCCAGGAGAAGAGGAGGAGGGATGTGGGGGAGTTGATCCAGGGACCTTAGACGGCGCAGCACTTGTGTGTGCGCCCGCAGGCAACGGCCGCCCGCTTGTGGCATCTCCTCCCGTAGAAGGCTGGATGCAGCCTGGCTGCTGACGCGGCAGCTGCCCCCTCTGTGCCATGCGCCCTCATCTCCTCTCACGGTGGCATGTGGCCTGCGGGCAGCTAGCTCATGGCATAGGGAAAAGGCACATTGCACATGCTCGGAGAGACTCTTGCCCCTTGCCGGCCCATGCCTCCCACCCAGTGAGCCATGACTGTGAAGGACTCCCGGCTTGCCCCACCAACTCAGCCTCTTCTCCCTCCTTCCTCCACAGATCTCCTCCGGGCACGGCAAGAGGTCGCAGCCGTGGCTGCCGCGCGCAACCCCAGTGCCATGGAGCCTCACCTCCCATCATCCAGCAACTCGTCCAGCCAGCGCAGGAAGCAGGGGCTGCCCCAGCACCGGGATTCCCACTTCACTGAGAGGTATTGTGCCGCTTTTCCGGCTGGCGGAAAGGGCCCTGCATGGCACGGAGCTTTTCCCCACTGCCCCGCGAGCGGCAGGGTGGGCAGGGGAGTGTCGGGGGCGCCGCAGCGATGCCAGGAGGCCCGGCAGGCCTGGCTTTGTTCTGTTGGGTGCTGGCTGGGCTTGCGTCAGCCGCCGGGGACGGCTGAGCACATGGAGGGTGGAAAGTTCCTGGCAGGATCGGGGCAAGCCTCGCAGGAGGATGGGGCCCGGCTTGCGAAGCCCAGCTGCATCAACGTAGTCGGCACGGGGACCAGAGGCCGGTTTTGGCTCTGCCAGACCTCGGACCAGAGCCGCAGGGGGGTGATCCACAGGGATGCAGGCAGATGGATGGAGGCAGCAGGAGGTGGGTGGCCCGTGGGTAGCACGCTGCCCCACTGCGGCTGGCCCTCCCCAGCCTGATGGCTGCCAGTGGATGCTGGGAATTTCAGTTCCAACACATCAGGAGTTTGCCGGGTTTCAGGGAGGCTAATTTCGTATAGCGGTTTTACCCTGCACTTCAGAGTAACTCGTGAAACTTAATCAGGCAGTCCCTGCCTTCCAGATGACAACTGTAAATGCAACACAGAAGGAAAAGGCTTGGGAAGGAGAAGGGAAAGCAAAGTTCAGGCACTGCTGGTTTCGAAGTCTTTAGAGCGTTCACTCTGACAGGGGGTGACAAAAACCCGTTTGCCTTTCCCAGGTCCCCCTCTGGCCAGTGGATGGAACTGGCGTGGTCTCCGCTTTGCCATGGTGTTTTTTTCTGGGAGGCAGCCTCCCAGTGGCCCTCGCTTTGCGGGCTTAGACGCAGGTTCTGCAAGACTGGCAGCTGTCAAGAGGGGAAGGGCGCGCAAGGTTGTTGCGCTGTTGCTGGCAGATTAACACTGAGCTTGCCGCCCTCCAGGAATCGCTTGCCCTTGTGCGGAGACGTCAGTCGCAGGGGGTCCTGGGCACAGAACTGCCCCTCCGAGGGCAGGGGCCCTTCTGAGGGTTGCTGGATAATTTCCAGGTCTGGGCTTCCTTCATGGTATCCATCCTAAAGTTTGTTCGAATTTAGGACAGCAGACCATACCTTACCAGTTCCCAGGTATCTTGGCCGCATGCTTCCCCTGTGATGAGAAGGGACCCTGCAGGTGTGCTTGGGCCTTGCTCCTTTCTAACAAGGCCGCCGCTTCCAAGACAAAGTCCTGGCATTCTTGGCATCGACCCGGCTCCAGCTAAGAACTAGGAAGGGAGAGCAAGCAAGATGTTCTTTTTGGCGCCAGCTTTTTCCAATTGTCTGGTGTAACTGCCGGGAAAGAAGAGCGTGCGCACGTGAGAGAGAGAGGTGTATTTCAGTTGACCTCCTGTATCACATAAACACATGCCCGCCGAAGCAGGCAAAGCATACGAGAGACGGCTCTGTCAGGAATGCTGCCATAGGCAGGCCTCAGCTCTGACAATCAGCTCTGTGTGGCCTGGAAAGCAGCCAGGAGTCTGGTGGAAAAAACACTGACGGTGTGGGGCCGGGAGCAGGGAAGCAATCTCCAGGGGACTCCACCCGCCCGTAAAAGTCTTCAGGGCACCGGCCCAAGCTGCAGGGCTGGATGGTGGAAAGCAGGTAGAGGTGCCACAAACACCCCGAAACCGGTCCCCAAACTCAAGACGCACCTCACGTTGTGAGAGGGCACGGTGGGGTCTGGAATCGGCCGGTTGACGAGTATCTATGCAGTGGCGGGTAGGCAGGGCGCCAGGCAGTGGAAGGAGACTGCTCACACGTGCAAGCCGTAGGCTCCTCATGGGACAGTTTTCTGTCGGGAGCGATGGGGCGTGTGGAGGCCACGGGGGAGCAAAGAGGGCAGGGGCTGCCTCCTCCGGCCCAAAGCGCAAAGAGCCAGCACGGCCGGGCTGTGGGCGCTGGCCCATGAGGCTCACAGGAGACGCGGCCTGTTGGAGTCTTGGGGGCTTGCCCAGTTTCCCTGCCAGGCGAGCGCAGGCTGGCTCCATCCTAGGAATCGGTTCTGCGCCTCCCCTTCGAGGTGGGAACGAACGCTGGCACCATCCTGGGTTTGGGTCAGCACCGCCTTGGGATTGGGATGGACTGGCTCTCCTGTGAGGCAGTCACAAATTCTGGCATGTTCTGGGTTTGGGTTAGCACCCTTTTGGGATTGGGTTCTCTGCCTTGCTTGCGAGGTGGGTGCATAGTATGGCATCACCTTGGGTTTCGGTTAGCACCCTCATTGGATAGGGTTGTCGCCATGCCTGCAAGATGGGCACAAACTCGGGCAATATCTTGGGTTTGGGTTGGCACCGTCTCGGATGGTTGGCTGTGACGACTTGAAGTCTTAAGAAGGGCTGCCAGCCTTCCCTGCAAGGGGGGGGGGGTGCTCAAACTCTGAAATCGTATTAGGTTTGGGTTAGCACCGTCTTGGGATTGGGTCGTCATCCTCGCGTGTGAGGTGGGCACAAAATACTATTTTAATTAATCCAATGTTGTCGAATCTCAATATATATTTTTAAACATCCCTCCTAAAAGAGAATGAAGCGGTTAACACTAGTGTAGAGGCATGGCCCCTTGAAAGACATGTCATAGTGGCATGAGAAGTGCTTCTGGCTTTGTTCAAGTCAGGTCCCATTTGGCCTAAAATTAGGGTTGGGGTCAAAACCCAGGTTAGCGTTAGGGTTGCAAGAATGACAGTCCCGACGAACTTTCTGTGGCCTGCAATGTTCTTAGGCAGGGCTCAGAGAGTGAGCCATGCAGAAAAATCCCCAGCTCATGGCCTTTTGAGAAATCAGGACCTGGGCATGGCCCTTTGTACTAAAATTAGGGTTAGGTGAAAATCCAGGGTAGGGTTAGGGTTGGAAAAATGAGGTGTCCTGGCAGGGTTTTGATGGTTGGAACGTGTTTAGAATGGGCAGAGATGATGAGCTGTGCAGAAAACGCTACTCGAGGAAGTCTTTTTCAAAATCGCCCTCTTTTCCATGGAGCTTGACCCCCAGATTAGGGTTAGGGGAGTGCCCCAGGGTAGGGTTAGGGTTAGAGAAACAAGGTGTCCTGGCATGGTTTTGATGGTTGGAATGTGTTTAGCATGGGAAGAGATGATGAGCGGTGCAGAAAACGCTACTCGAGGAAGGCTTTTTCAAAATCGCCCTCTTTTCAGTGGAACTTTACCCCTCTATTAGGGTTAGGGTTGTGCCCCAGGGTAGGGTTAGGGTTAGAAAAACGAGGTGCCCTGGCATGGTTTTGATGGTTGGAATGTGTTTAGAATGGGCAGAGATGATGAGCTGTGCAGAAAAAGCTACTCAAGGAAGGCTTTTTCAAAATCGCCCTCTTTTCCATGGAACTTTACCCCTATATTAGGGTTAGGGTTGTGCACCAGGGTAGGGTTAGGGTTAGAAAATCAACAGTCCGGACAAACTCTCTGCGGCCTACAACGTTCTTAGGCTGGGCCCAGAAAGTGAGCTGTCCAGAAAAATCCTTACCTCATGACATTTTGCAAACTCGAGTCTGAGGCATAGCCCTTTTGGCCTGAAATTGCCCTCTCGCTTTCCGTAAAAGAAGGCTGAATGTGTTTTCTTTCGTCTTTGCCAGATGTTTCAGCCTTCCATTTGCAGTGGCATTTCTTTCCTTTTCGTGTGGGTGCCCGTGTGCATGTGTGCCTGTTCCTAGGCTAAGTAATTTATTCATACGGTGCTTATCTTGTCCGTAGGGCACTCAATGCAGCTCCATAGTATTCTGCACAGATTGGGTTGCCTGTCCCAGGCTGGTGCGAGAGGCAGCGAGGAAGAGCAGCCTGTAGGGGAACATCTTCCAGAAGCGTGGGAGGGCATCGCTTGAGCTGGTCTGTCGGGTTTATGCAGAAGTCTTTTCCACTGCAGATGGGTTTCCCTCGAGCTCCATTTGGGGCACAGCTTTGGGTGTACCTGTGTCCGGCTCACTGAGCCGAAAAGCACAGCCGGAGGGGCCTCGCCTGAAGTGGGGTTCCAGTAGCAGGGAGGCAGCGGAGAGCGGGAGGGCCACGCTGAAGATTCCCCTGTGCCGAAATTGGGTTCCAGAAGGTCCGCTTCAGCAGGAGGCACAGACTGATGGTTTACTCCAAGAGGGGGCCTGCAAGCACTCTGGGCAGGGAGTCCTGGCCATAAAGGGGAGCATCTTGTGAAGGAGGCAGGAGAGTTGTGAGGACTGCCTGTTAGCTCACCAGCAGCTGCTCGGTCCAAGGCAAAAGGCACCTTGGGCAGCTGCTGGATTTCAGTGCTCTCAGGTTCACCTTTCCTTTGCCCTGGCCCGGCGCTCTTGTATCTGGCTGTGGCAGTCTTTTTCTTGCTTTTTTATTTTTCGATTTTTTGCTTAACAAGGGCAATCAGAGCGATGCTCTGAAGGGCGTGGAGCTTTGAAGCAGCAGGTAGGCAGTGAACGGCCAGGGCGTGGAGGGGGGGAGCGTGGGGGAGCAAGGCAAGGAAGGCGTGGGGCCAGGATTCTAGCTTGAGCAGAACAAACTGCAGGTAGATTTATGGTGTCTGCCTTTCCCGGGAGTCAGGCAATAATGCATGTCGTGGGGGTTGAGGGGAATGGAAGCGGCTTGGCATGGTGCTAAAATTCCATTTCAGCTTCCTGTCGGGAGCTCCACGGGGATTAGGTCAGTTCACGGATGCAGCAGCAAGAATAATTAGCCACTGAAGAATTCAGCCATTAGCTGGAGGCAGAGAGGAGGGGGAGGCAGGCAGGCAGGCAGGGAAGGGAAGGGAAGGGAGGAGAGGCCCGCCGGCAACTCGGCCTTGTTTGCGAAGGTGGCACTGTGGGGAGGAGGAGTGACGGAGACCTTTTCCATCTTCCGTGGGGTGAAGGCAGTCAAGCACAGCAGTGAAGACCACGGTGGGGTGGGGTGGATCCCTGGCTGAGGCGCCACGGAGGGAGAGAGACAGGGTTGGGTGGCAGCGGAGGAGGAGAGCAGCCCCTCTTGCTGCATTCATTCACTCGAACGGGTCTTGGGTGGCAGCCCTA